AAGCTTTGAATAGTAATGATTGTGGTGAAAATCCGCCGCTCGATGGTATCCGCCGCTCGGTGGTTGATTACGTTAACCAATGTATTTCTGATTACATAATCATACTGATTATGTAATTTACACGGACCCGTCGCTCTAGTGGGAGCCCGAAGAAAGTGTAGGATTAGTCATCAGACCCCGCGCAAAGATACTAGTCCCGTTTGGGAACCGAGGCTTTGTCTTCCAATTCATCCTGAAAGTTCTCCGTGCAGGTTGAGATCATCCCACCATACCTGTCGAGAATGGCTGAATCAATGCCTCTACATATGCTGAGGCCCGTCAAGCGCAGGAATGGCTCAAAGCACGATAAAACTGGATGCCTCACCTGCCGTTATAGGTATGGTCTCTTCCCCTTTGCATGTCTCCGGTTTCTAAGCGAGGACCAGGAGAAAGAAATGCATCCAAAACACGTATCCCATCTGTGGAGATTGTGCTCGCTTAAATCTTGAATGCGTGCGCGAGCCGATTCGACATGTTGTGCCAGAGGACACGGTCAAACAGTGTATCGGGACAGCCAATCAACGACACAAGCCAACCATCCCTCGATCGGTAGAGAAATCGCCTGAACAGATAGCTCCGAAGGGTGGAGGTGATCGGACTCTACGAAGACGATATGCGATGAATTACTACGTCACTGTCTTGTCCGAGTTGTTGACAGTAAGCCGGGATTGTAATTCGTTTCTGTCTGGTTAGACTACAAAAGGAGGGGATGAAACTCGATCTAACAGTACTTCGCAGCATTCCTGCCGATGGCAGTAGACTGGCCCGCTCTTGCAGATGCCCTAGTCTCGTGGTCCTCAGGGCATCTAGCCGCGACCGATGCGTCATACCGAGTGACAGCCCTGGAAGCGCGATCCACTGCACTGCACGCCTTGACGGAGACGATCTCGTCTGTGCCCGATGATTTGACCTGCTGTGAGGCTAATGTAGCAACTTGTTTGGTCCTTCTAACGTCGGAGGTCTGTCTTGGCGATCATACGGGATGGTATTACCATTTGAAAGGCGTCAAAAATATGATTATGTCTGCTCGGTCGTCGGGGAGACACTTTCGAGGAACGGATGCATTGAGACAAAGCCCGGAGGGTCAATGGATTTTACGAAACTTCGCTTACCATGACGTCCTAGGTAGTGTCGCTTTAGGGACCCAACCGTTGATCAAAGCAGAGTATCTTGATGGTATCACTGGTCTCGTGGACACTTACCTTGGGGTGGCTTCTGAGATTTTGATGCTCATCTCGGAGATCAGTTGTCTCGACCCGATGGACTTGGTTTATGAATCCATCGACGATTCGGACGATAGTCCCTTAGTCGTATTGAGCGACCGTTGTACATCGCTCGAACGCAGACTTGCAGGCTGGAAGTGTCAACCTGGAACTGCGCCTACCCTCGTGGCGGTCGCATACGCATATAGGAGTGCCGCTCTTTTATACCTATATAGGCGAATACTACGTGCAATTTACGACAGTTTGCATCGTCGAGAAGAATTGTCGTCAATGCTCAACTCGACAATTCAGACCGAGGTCGCAAGAGTTTTGGAACATGTGTCCGATGTCCCCCTTAACGACAAACCAGAGACCGCTCTGTTGTTTCCCGTATTTATGGCGGGGATTGAGGCGACCGAAGGAAACCATATTGAAATCGTTCGCATGCGGCTAGTTATCATGCAGGGAAAGCGGCCATTTCACAATATCTCCCGAGCACTGCAGGTTCTGGAGGAGCTCTGGACACGGGGTCGAAATCACAGCAACGTGGATTGGAGGGATATCGTAGAACAGCAATCCGGAGGACTCCTCCTGACCTGATAGTTGCAGAGGGTTTGCGGACTAGGCCTCCTATAAGACGCGGGTATGAATTGACTCATATCAGACCAGCAGGGCAGCTTTGATTGCTTCTCGTGTCCAAAACCGGCGTTCAAGTGCGAGAAATCCGAGATCCGCACCGAGTTATGAAGGATATTCGCAAACCAACCATGTTCGGCCGATGGGGGCCAAAGCGCAGCCCAATTTCGCTTTCTCGAAGGCAACCACGAAAGGGAGAAGAGTCGATCGTCTTAACAAGCAACCCTGGTAATGCTTGAACTTGATTTCCAACCATTGCAAGTATTGACAAGTGAAACGCCACGTAATCCTGCAGCCATACGAGCGTTGTGAGCGTTGCGCGCTGCATCCTTTGGTGCGGCCTTCCGGAATCCCGACCGAGCGGGATTCGCGCAACGCCGTCTCCGGTCGTGGGCGTCTGACTCGTCTTTTAACTCTCCTTGCCCCTACTCCGAACCCCGTGTGTATGCATCAAGCGTGTCTGAACTCCGACATGCAGAACAACACCAGTATCGCCCAGTATGGCCAGGCATGCCTGAATTGCGCCCGTGCCAAGTGTAAGTGTGTTATGAGTGGGATCGGGAGTCGGGGGTGCGATAGGTATGCGAAATTAGTCAAGGTAAAGAGTTTGGCGGAATATCGTTAATGATTGAATTGCAGATGTCGCCGCCTGCAGAAAGCCTGCAGCCCAGCGCCCAGATTGCGCAAGCGGAAGGCGCCGTCGAAGACGGAGCTTCTGGAGCAGAAAGTGGATGATCTGATGGCATTGTTGAGACCGTCCGAACCCTTGCCACAATTACCGCCACAAGCATCTGATAGCCTCCCGGCATATCCATCGCCTTCTTCTTTTAGCAGAACAAATGAAGAGGATTTGTCCAATACCAGTAGCAGCGTGCCAGAGTCGCCGTCGAGCTCGGTTGTTCCTGACTTGACCTCGGACGAGGAAGAAGAGGTCCTCAGGGTTTTCCGGACCGAGAAGCTCCCATGGATGCCAATCATGCACATCTCGGAAGATACGCGGCCCATAGACCTGAAGACCGAGTCTCCCTTTGTATGGTTATGCATCACGGCCTTTCAGAATAGGTGCACGTCCCATACCCGGATTTTGTGCGATCGGGTCCGCTCAGAGGCCGGCAGGAGAATGATGCTCGAGTGCGAGAAATCTCTTGATCTATTGCAGGGCGCTTTAATCTATCTGGCCTGGTAAGAACTCCAAGCCCGTGGGATCTGCTCTTTTCTGACCGATCAGGGTCACCTTTTCTTGCCCTTCGGACAAAACCTCGCTTTGCACCTATACACAGATGGCGCAAGCCATGCTTTTCAACCTCCGTCTTCAGAAGCCTCCGCCTCTAGATGCAAACCATGCTCTTCCCACCTGCAACATCGCTGGCCATTTCACTCACCGTATTATGCAGGTGTCGCTAGTTCGCACCATGAACGAGCGAAGGGCCCTGCTTGGGTGTTATCTCATCAGCTCAGCGTACGTTTGGGCTTCCGCACTTGATGTTGCCACGCTAACATCGTTCTACAGTGTCTCCCAGTTCGTAGGCCTCATCGAACCAATGGCGTGGACCCCACATATGACGGAGTGTCTGGATGTACTCTGCGCGAGTATGGAGACCCCTAACGACGTAGTTTTGGTGCAGCTGGTGTCGACACGGCGCATTAAGGACACCATCCCGATGGGGACTTGGAACTCCAACGATCCCAATCCGACCATGCGCGCTCCTTATGCTTGGCATGTCAAGGCTCTTGAATCGCAGCTGACCGACCTAACAAGTCGTATGCCCCTTCATCTTCACCATAACAGTGAGTGTCTCTCAACTCATCCTATTTTCCAAATAAAGGCCCAGTCTAACATCACCATAGAAATTGTGATGCTTTTCCTTCAACATCTCAAGGTGGCTTTATACGAGACCGCACTCTTGAGCGCCCCAACAGAGCCATGCAACGACATCGATATCAATCGGCTCGATCATCTGTACACTTGCTTGAACGCTATCAAAGAGTTCTCAGATATCATCCTGAGTTTCTCGCCCACCATGTACCCCAACCTCTCCATGCCCATCTACATCCTCATGTCGCACTGTTTCATCACCCTATTCCGTCTCTCGATGTTCGACTACCCAGGATGGGACAAGGAGGCCGTCCGTCGCGATGTCGACCTGCTAGCCATTACCGAGCAGTTGGCAGAGCGGATGCTTCAAGTACCGGCGTTAATCGGCATCAACAATGACGGGACGTACCTGGATACGTGTACAAGATTTGCCGACAAGATCCTAAAGCTTCGGGTGGGGTGGGAGTCACGCATGGCAGGTGTGCCCGAGGAAAGTGAGCCCGGAACGCTGGACCCCATGGTAGCGATTGATTCGAAGTTTGATCCCTGGGCTGATACCTCGTGGTTGTCGGGGGCTTTAATGTCGGGGGCGTTTTTTTGAGCGGGATACCCTTGCTTTCATTTGTGTATTCCACGTGGTTAGAGCGTGGTGTGATACTTCAGAGGTGTATAGTGTGCATAGCGATTGAGCCTCATTTAATTTGAACCCATTAATAATTTTTACAGTGTTAACTACTGTAGCCCATCCTAGTAGCGGTATGCTATGCTTAGACTAGACGTTAATCTCACATAATTAGAAGCTCAGCGATAATCAATCAGAAACAGTCAGAAACGTGGACAGACCCCAAAGCCCCAAAGGGCCCAAACATGGTCAGGGGCGAGCCTGACGCCCAAAAAAAACCTTATGTCCGCTCCGGTGCGGACTGCGGACATAACGGGAATTCGGGCCTTAAGAGGAATAAGGCTGTCCCGCTATCAGATCCGACCAGTGGAGAGTCAAAAATTAGAACCCGTATTCTATTATTCAATTTGTTCTAGACAAAGCCCACGGCCTCTACCCGCCCACTAGGCGACATTAGGAAAATAGGTAGGTAGCTATGACTGCTCCTCGCCCTGCTAGCGCCTGTTGGGACTAGTGAGCACGACTCAACTTCCGTAACAGGACTCGCGTTCGCACGAGTCTGGCCGAGATCAGCAGGGATCGGAATCGGGGTGCGCGAAAGGGCGGTCGCTGCTGCTGCTTTTCTCTGACCGTCGGGCTTCGCATCTCCCGACTCCGCCCGCTCTTGTCCGCACGGCGGAGCGGTCTTTAGCAATTCCATGAATCAGTCATTTTGGAAAGGAGATTATTTATAAGTTGAGGCTGCTCGTTCTGGTCGGATGGATATTTGGATCAGAGTTTTGAGTTTTTATCTCATTATACATATTGTTTCAACGGAATCTTTTTGTTTCTCGTGACGGTTTCGATATCGACGCCTTGTTGCCTGGAGATTTTTTTGGATCGGATTTAATACACTGCGACGCTCGCTTATCTCTCCGCCATGCCGGATCAACAATATCCTCACGCTGGGAGTTCACCACCAGCGCGCGACAGCGCTGTGAATGTGGAAAAGCCAGACAACAATGTTGTCTCTACGGAGTCGAATCTGGAAACGAAACAAGTCACCCCCGAAGCAGGTAGCACGCACTCGAAATCGACGGAGGATTCGTCGGCGGCCAAGAACCCGGCAGACGAGCATGAGTGGATTCAGGGAATACCGTTGTTTATGGTCCTGGCGGGAGTGACGCTGGTGGTGTTTCTGATGTTGTTGGATGTGGCCATTTTATCTACGGTTGGTACTTTGCGTTGCAGATTGCTCGGGAATTTGATGCTGACCGGTGGATGTGCAGGCTGTTCCGGAAATCACGAGTCATTTTCACTCTTTGGATGATGTCGCTTGGTATGGTAGTGCATATACGATATCGAGGTATGGCAGTCCTGAGACTCTGGTTGGAATATTATGCTGATGAAGACAGTGCGGCTCTTACGCCTCTGACGGGGAAGTTTTATTCGCACTTTAGCTCGAAGGTGGGTGCTGCCGTACAGTGGATGAATGAGGAGTGGTGCTAACCATCGCAGTGGACGTTTCTTTTCTTCTTCGGTCTCTTCGAACTCGGATCTCTCCTCTGCGGCGTGGCGAATTCGTCGAAAATGTTGATTATTGGACGTGCTGTCGGTGGTATGGGCGGTTCGGGAATGGTCAACGGCGCGTTGAATATTATTGCTGGAGCGGTGCCGATGCAAGGACGACCTCGTGAGTACCCTTTATGTTGGATTCTATGACTAGAATGCTGATTGTGTATAGCGTTGATCGGAATCATGATGGGTGGTAAGTTGGTTTGCTCCTGGAGTTGATAACCATCAATCTAATTTTCACAGTCGGACAATTAGGGCTTGTCCTGGGTCCTCTCATCGGCGGTGCCTTCACCACCTACTCCTCCTGGCGATGGTGTAAGTCCATCCTCGACCCCCAAGACCAATTGCAAATACTCATCCAATTCACCAGGCTTCTACGTCAACCTCCCCATCGGCGGCCTCGTCGCCATTCTCCTCGTCTTCACCAAGATGCCCGAACAAGTCCCCAAACGCCCGCCCATGGAAGTCTTCCGCGACAACTTCGTGGCCAAATTCGACTTCCTCGGCTTCGTCCTCTTCGCGCCCGCCGCCATCCAACTCCTCTTGGCCCTCCAGTACGGCGGACACGTATACGCATGGAACAGCTCGCGTGTGATCGGCCTGTTCTGCGGTTCCGGCGCGACCTTCATCGTCTTCTTCCTCTGGGAATGGCGCGAGGGCGACAACGCTATGATCCCGCTGCGGATTCTCGGTCGCCGGACCGTCTGGACCTCTTGTATTCTGGCGATGATGTTCTTCGGAATGACCATGGTGTTGGCGTACTACCTGCCCATCTACTTCCAGTCCGTGCGAGGCAGAACGGCCATCATGAGCGGCGTGGACCTCTTGCCGAACGTCATCGCTCAGTTGATTGCGGCCGTGGGGTCGGGTATCTTGATGGGTAAAGTCGGTTATTATCTCCCCTGGGCTGTCTTTGGTGCTGTCGTCACTACCATCGGTAATGGACTCTTGACCACCCTTTCGCCCACCACCTCTACGGGCCGATGGATCGGATATCAGATCCTCGTGGGATTCGGCCGTGGTGCATGCATGCAAGTCGTACGTCCTCGCCTCCCTATTCCTATTATAATAACCCCAATCTCCCCTGCCAAACTAATACTAACATTGACTCGAAACAGCCTATGATCGCCGTCCAAAACGCCGTCACCCCCACCGACGTCTCCCCCGCCATGGCAACCCTCACATTTTTCCAGACCTTCGGCGGCGCAATCTTCCTCGCCATCGCGGAGGTGATCTTCGCCGAAGGTCTGCGCGAAAAGATCCCCCAGTTCGCGCCCACCGTGAACGCCGAGACAGTGATTGAGGCTGGTGCCACGGGGTTCCGGGACATTGTGACGGGGAGCCAGTTGGGTGGGGTACTGTTGGCTTATGCGAAGAGTATCGGGGAGATCTTTTATATGCAGATTGGATTGGGCGTGGTGGCGCTGATCGTGGCGTTTGGAATTGGGTGGAAGGATATTCGGAAGAATGGGCAGAAGAAGCCGGGGGAGGTTAAGGGGGAGGAGAAGGTTTGAAGCGATGAATATTGGATTGAACGGGGTGCTGGTATAGAGAAAGACTTTATGATGATTTGATGTATATTTTATAGAATAATGTTAATCAATCTCCACTGATGGATAACAAATGTGTTCGTAGTACCTATAAGTGAGAAACCTTGAGAATACAAATAGTGTGCAATGTAGAGAACAATGAGTGACATATGAAAATAGCTATGTACACCTCTAGGGCCGTTACATAGCAACATCGTCCATCTCTTCAAACCCCTTCTTGCCCCCATGTCCCAAAATCGACCCGGGATGGAAGAAATGAAAAACAACCTGCACCCCAAACATGGGTATCGTATCAAACACATACAAAAACGCCTCATGACCCATCAAATATCCATCCATGCCCTCCACAAACTCCACAATACGATACAAACACCGGACAATAATCACCCCGGACACAGCCAACAACACGAACAACAACCTCATCACGTCCTCCGGGACTGCTGCACCATCACCAGCCAATATTCCACCCTTCCTCCCTTGCTCTCTTAACCTCTTCACAAACGTCCCCGTCACTGTAAGGAAGAATCCAAAAAAGCCTAACTGCACGAATAACCCCACCACCGCGATCTTCTGCCCCATGTCAGCCATCCCGTCCATGGCCATCATCCCGCCGCCGGACGCCTGCGTCAGGAATGCAATGAGGTCCCCGACGACGAAGACCTTGGTCACTATGTAAGGCGAGATGAGAGAGAGACGGGGTTCGCGGAGATGGATCACGATACGGCCGTAGATCATGTAGATGGTGGCGGCGTAGAGGGAGGGCGGGAGCAAAGTGCAGATGTTTTGGGCGATGTAGGGTGGTAAGGATGTGGTGTCGTTTGCGGAGATGAGGCGGGCGATGTAGCCGATTGTCATCACTGGGTTAGGATTTGGGTTAGCTATGAGGAATGAACGGGGGAAGGGGAAAGAAGGGGGGAGGAGGTGGTGGGATGTACTGATTGCGCCGACGATGAAGGTGGTGAAGAAGTAGGCCTTCAGCCGGATGAGTTGATAGATGTGGTATACGGTGCTGAGTCCATAGCAGATGATGGCGATCACTGCGGCTGCTTTGCTGGGTTCGTATTGATAGAAGGCAAATGCCATTTTAGCTGTATAATGAATGACTGGGTTTGTAAAGTTGAAACGAAAAGAGTGGGAAGTATAAAAGACGCGAGATGTAGCAACGAGCGGACGATCCTGAGACCAAATATGTTTACCGGCTATACAAACACAATGAAGGACATAAATAAGGAGGTATTTCTATTCCCCTTCGAAATGTATATGCCTAGGAGTATTTTAAAAGCTGCGCCATCTTAGGCGATATAAACAGGTTATCTGCCATTGGCCAATAACGATCCAGTCGTGTTCGTGTTCGGGAAGAGACTTTACGGCGAGGAAGATGCTAAGAATGGATTGATTGACCCACTGTTCTGGTCCGAAGAGGATAGGCGGGTCTACTTATTTTGATAGTTATGGACCCGTTGCTCGCATAATATACGGATACGATAAGTGTAGAATGCTAGTCTCTACTTAAATAGACATGAGAGAGATATGCTTATTTCTCATCGGCCGATGCGGAAAAGTCTCGAGTATTAATAGTATAGGCTGTTAGAGATAGAAAGGGCCGTTAGTAATTATTTCATTCTATGTTTCTTGGTCTCTATATACAGAAAAAATATAATAACCAGTTAGTTTGTTACTCCATCTCAGAATAGTTGGTACCTGAACTCGAGGACTCGATCCACAAAAAGCCTTTTCCAAAAGCCAGATCATCAAAAGTTATTCCCAGTAACTGCACCCCATATATACGTCGCCCAACTCCCCAGAATTAACAACAACAGGGCATCAAAACAGCAAAGCGACACCCACCGATTCCAACGGTATCGTGTGACAAGATGATGCTCGCGGAGAGCAGCCAGACGACTCGAACCAAAGGTCAACCGATCCTTTCTCGACCACTGCAAGGGAGCCAAATTACAGTTCATCAAGGCAGCTAGCAAAATCGCCACGCCTACTGCCATCAAGATCGCCGCCGCACCTAAATAGACCATGTTTACGCGGTGATATGACCCGTGGTCTTCATCTTGGAGAGCCCCTGTGACTAACCGCATGATGATGTTCATTCTGTATAGACCGTTGGTTAGGTGAGAAGTCCATGGAATGAAGTAGGGAATGGAAGGATGCATACGCGTTGTTCATGGTTTGGTCCAGACCGCACGCGGATCCGAATACTGATTCTTCCCATATGACCGTGCGGATACTGTCAACTATCACCGTGGTTCCGAAAGCCTTGACCAGGCCGTAGAATACAAAGCTTGCGGCCGTGCCGGATTTGGTGGGGATGAGATTTAGGAGCAACATGCTAACCAGCAACATAGTTCCGCAGAAGAATACTGTGAGATGATTAGATTGCATGCTGTATGTAAAAGAAAGATATACCAAGATGTACTAACGCATATATGCTCGCCTTCCGTGGACATCGAGAAAAAGGCCCATTAAAGGGACTAAAAAGAACCCTGGGAAGGATTAGTATATGCAGTAGGCATTACACTTGTTGACCATAAAAAGGGAATAAAGGGGAGAGCTTCGGGTTCGTGGGCCCTCTAAAAGTGAGAAAGAAGGAAACTTACCTCCATACTGAGCAGCAGCACTATACCACCCCGCCGTGACTGCACTAACGTTGAAACGCATCTCAGCGAGCTCCGTGGCGTTCTGACTGAAGACCACGGTCGTGGTTGACTCAAACAAGGAAAACGCTAGAATTGACCAGAACATCCATGGAAGCTGGAATATCTTGTAGAAGCGAAAGGCCTTTTTAGAGGGTCGTAAACTTTCGCCGTTGGCGACATCTGACGGCAGCTCGTGGTGCTGGTTACAGTAACGTTCGAGAAACCAGAAGAAGAGGGTGGCCACATTGGCGAACACGTTGATGAAGACGTTGATCCAGAAGCTCCATTCGAACCCACAGTTCTATACTGTTAGTGCTGTCGTCTCTAGGTGGGCGTTGAATCTTCTCACCTGCGCAATAATGTTTGCTGTAGCTTTACCGATAAACCCGCCAAGCTATTATTTTTTCAGCAGGAGGCCACCACAAAATAAAGAAGAGGATAGGAAAGAAGAAGAAGAGATACCTTTCCGGAAGCTCCTTCAAACCCGAGGGTAAGTGCAAAGCCATTGCTAGGCGCAAACCACGAAGAAAACATCTTGTACTGGGCTACCTGGCTAGTGATATCCCCCATGGCCATCACGATGCGGCCGGTGACCATGAAATCATAGGATCGAACCGTAGCCGCGCCCGCAATAAGGATCGACCCGATGGTATAAACCATTTTGGCAACGACAATAACCGCTAGGAAAAGACTGGTATAAGTGTTGTCCGACTTTCACCTGACCAAACAAGCGCAATGACAAGACTACTCACACAGACCACCGATTCGATCAGCAACAACCGCACCCCCCATGATTAGTATTGTTGCCATGAAATCCTCACTCGCCTCCAGCAGGGAAAATTGGGTGTTGGAAATATCCAGTTCCTGACTCATGCGTTAGAAAGCTATTAGACGGCTGGATGTATGTAATCTACCTTCTTAATGGTGCTTTTCATGGCTTTCGTCACGCCAGAGCTCCAATGAGTTGCACCACTGATACAGCAGATTAAGCATACAGCTGCTACCTTGAGAAGAAATGGAGTTTCGGGCTTGACATCTTCAGCCTCATCGGGCTCATCGGGCTCCTCGATCCTCGGTGATGGACTCCTTAGGTTTCGTGGAGAAATAACTATCTCAGGTCCTCCCTTGTGCAGCGACATCTTCACTTGACCAATAAATAAAATACTTTAGATGGCAAATTCTGAGATTTCAGAGACGGACTAAACGACCTTATACTCGATCATTCGACTGTGCCTATCCAAACGAGAAAATGTTTTAGAGTATGCATCCTGAAGCCAAGCGATGAGGGGTAGATACGGAGACCTTCATCGTGACTGGCTGACAATGAGGGGAGTTGATGGACGATCGATAGCCCAACTGATCACAGATCCGAGCCGAGTTAGGCGCCGGGTGTTGACTATGCCGAGATGAAGAAATTCGTTGCATATGCATGCTCCGACCGAAGCAGAGAATACGTCCCGAGTAAGCTCATAGTAGATCACCCTTCCATGCTGACTCGCATGTTCAACCATTTCCGACCATGCCTGTGTACTTCCCCACCTATGAACTGGAGTTTTGCGGTATCTTAACACTGAATTATTCATATTTGATGCCGCATTACGGCCACCGTTAGCTCCATCCACCTGCATCCTGTGAGACCGGTCATAGCGTTGATTCCACTTTCAGTTATGATAGTCGCCGTGCATTGAAACAACCTACGGAGTAGTCACCGTATAATATTCCTCCCACTTAGAGATCCTGAAAAGGGGTATTTATCCGATGTGTCACATATACTCAATCCATGAACCGGTTTTGCTCTCCGATGGACCCGTCACAAATAAACAAGGAAATTCACATATATACGTGGCATCGATAGATATTAAGCGCATGCAATTCCGTGCCCTCCCGAAAAAAACCGACTACCGGCACACCCCTCTGGCTACACACACAGCCCACGTGGCTCCCACACCGCAGTTTCTGACAAACAGGGATTACAGGCGGATTGCGATGTGTTTGGTTTTTCCCCTGAAATTGGAGAGTAGCTTGGAAAGAGGGAACAAATTCGTCTTTTGCCACTACACTCCTAGCTCAGCAAAAAATGGGCCATGAGCAAATACACGATGTTCGTCTGAATGCATGACTTTGAAAGCTCTTTTGTTCTAGCCACATGGCTATCTTCTCCTGATGCGCTCTCTTTGCCCTGTATATTTCGCACGGCAAGTATTCGGCATCTTTGTACACTTGTCGAGAAGAAGCTGTACAAAGATCGGATTCCTTAAGACGAACTCCGTACTCAGAGGTCTCAGGGACAGAATATGAAGGCAATGCGGTAATGACTGAATATAGCTTGTTGACGGTTCTCGCCGTATGGCGCTGCATTCGGGTTAAAGAGTTTCAAGTGGAGTACTATGAGGCATGTACCGAGCAATAAATTAAACATTAACCCCCAAACTTGCCCAGCCATGTACGTCTGTGGTGCTGTGGTTAATTTGATCAATTCATATGCCCACCGAAGACTACGTGGGCCCACCAAACGCTCCAAATCATGGAGATCTCGCTGTGACTAGCTATCATACCAAGCCAACTTCCGGGGCTCTACTAAAACACACAAGATGTGTCCAGCCCTACAACAGTTGTCGCACAAAAGGGAAGTCGTATTGCGTGTGGCCGGAGATCACTTTCCCCCGTTCCTGGCGAGAGCAGAACGCGACACGGAGGTCGATTTGTTATCAGTAAGGATTCAAGATGAGCAGCCGGGAAGCGTCCTCAGGGCACAAAGCGGGGCGGTAGATGTAGGCCACCCCTTGCGTCTAGAAACAGCCCTAGGTGGTTAACATTCCTAGGGCTCGCAAAAGCCATATTAGAAAACGAAATGATAATTTGGAACACTGAAGCAAGGGGAAAGGGCAGTAACGGTATGAAAAAGGGGCTGCAATTGTCTTTCCTCCGATGGTCTCGTTTATATGTCAATTGGGCCCGCGAAGGAAATTTCACGTGCCATGATGATAGTCCTCAGCTATGGAATTAATGGACACCAGCTCTGCAAAAACCGATGGCGTCTCCGTTACCAGGCTCCCTCAGCACGTGGCAGTGGACCCAAAGAAGGCTACACCCGACGATGCCTCTATCCAATCGCCAACCCCCCCATATAGTGTTATGTCCGAAAGCGAGAAGATTTTTACCATCGTTCTCTGCTCCGCAGTAAACTTCCTCAGCCCCGTGGCCGGCAACATGTACTATCCCGCCCTAGGACCTTTAGCCAGAGACATGAACGTGTCGAAAAGCACGATGAACTTGACGATCACGGTGTTTAAGGTATCACTATAAATCACCAGCCCCCACAGGAACAACGCGATTGACGGGAATAGGTTGTTCAAGGAATTGCGCCATTACTGACGGCGACGATTGCCGATCAAAACGGTCGTCGACCAGTTGTTCTTATCTGTCTAGTTTTATTCCTCGGCAGTAACATAGGTCTAGCGCTTCAAACAAACTTCGCTGGACTCATGGTACTGCGTTGCGCCCAGAGCTTTGGCAGCAGTAGTGGCTCAGTCGTCGCAAATGCCGCGGTGGCTGATCTCGTCACACGCGGAGAGCGAGGGAAATACATGTTTTATTCCTCGCTGGGGATGGCCATTGGGCCTGCTGTCGGGCCCATTCTCGGCGGAGTCATCGTCCAGTTTCTAGGGTGGCGAAGTTCCTTCTGGTTTCTGGCCATTATTGCCGGGGTGATTGTTCTACTAATGGCTATGTTCCTGCGTGAAACCTGTCGTGCTGTCACTGGAAACGGGAGTATCCCACCACAGCGATGGAATAGGTCTATCTTGCAGATGGTCAAGGTAAAGAACGGGCCGACCCCAAACCATGCAACCCGGACTGTCTTCAAGCGTCGACCGAGCCTGCTCGATGTGTTGAAGATCGTGATGCATCGTCACATCGGACTCCTAGTCCTCTGCAGCACACTGCGTTTCAGCGGGTCGATAGCAGTCCTAGGAACGCTGCCAGCACTCCTAGAGCGAAAATACCGTTACAACCCTCTCCAGATTGGGCTGTGCTACATCCCCTTCGCTGTCGGGGGTATCGTCACCCGTTGGACAGTGGGGACCGTGACCGATTGGAACTATCGGCGCCATGCGCAGCGAAACGACGTAGAAGTTCGACCCAACGAGCAGCAGGAGCTGCGGGACATACCCATTGAAAAGGCCCGACTGCAAATTACCATCCCCCTCATGTACCTGTCGTCCTGCTCCGTTCTGGCCTATGGCTGTACCATGAGCTACGATGTGCATATCGCAGCCCCTCTCGTATTTTTATTCCTGCTGGGAAATACGGACGCAGGTGTTACTAACACTCTGAAGATGCTTGTGATGGATCTGCATACCTCCCGGCCGGCTACTGCAACGGCAGCCATGAACAGCTTTAAGAATCTTGTGGGCGCTGGATCGGTTGCTGCTGCCTTGCCACTGATTAATGCTATCGGAATTGGATGGGTAGGGACGATAATCTGTTTCTTGTGGCTTCTTGCTACTCCGGCGTTGTGGATTCTGTATTTCAAGGGACATGTTTGGCGACAGCGGCAGGAGGTGCAGGTATACGATTGAATAAATGGAGGGGAGGCGTCTTCACATAGCGGATGTCTTAGTTGTCTCTTCTCTCACTTAAGGGTCATTTGTTTGTTTTGGCCGCCGGCTACCAGAAATATCCTAGGAAGGAGTCTGGCCACGGCTAATTGACTATTAGTGTTGCGGGCAAAGCCCGTACCTACCGCCTTCGCGATATGGGTATTGTCCGCAACATTAGTATCTTCTAGCGCGCGTGGACCTTTGTTCCGCAAGTACAGAATCATCCTGCTGAGAGTCAACTATAGAAGTCTCCAGTCTTCTTACACTCTTTCGCGCTTTTCTCTTAATAATCTAGGAACTATGCAGACTGTAACCAGGATCTAGATTTTGGCCACCTTACAAACCAGGTCCTCATTAGCGGCCCAACATACCAACTACCCTATACGTCAGCAACGCACAAGTTTCTTTAGTCAGCTTACTGGCAGCCTAGGGCTGCGCTTCTAGATCTCACAGGTTACCTCTCGCCCAGCAATACCGATATTCGTGTTGGCCCATCGCAGGGAAAAATTGCACTGTAGGAAGATTCTACGAAGGGGAAGAAACGTTTGGAGCGCGACTGATCACCCTCGAATTGCGCGACGGAGGGTGAGAATCCTGGGTGATTAGGCGGTCTCCCCGTTCTCACCTCTTTTCCAATTAACCTAATGTGTGTGTGTGTGTAGACATTCTCTAACGCCTTATTTACTCGCTCTTCCAGTCCTGCTTGATGAGGTCCGCTGCTCTTTCCGCGAATGCGTATACAGTGGCTTGCAGATTCGCCGTGCTTACAAGCGGGATAGCACTCGCATCCACAACCCTCAGTCCTTCGATACCATAGACCCTTAAATTGGAATCCACCACTCCGTCTCTCTCGCGAGGCAGCATGGAACAGGTCCCCGCAAAGTGCCACATGGAGACTAAATTCTCCCGAACATACTTCTTTGCAGCATCTAAGTCTCCCTGGAAGTCTGCAGCTGGGTCACGGAACTTCAGTGGCTGTTCGAGCAGCTCCCCAAGCTGAGGTGACTCTGCTAAGTTATTGATAACGAGTAAGTGCCGTGCTATGACTTCCAGATCGAGAGGATTCGACAGGTAACCAGGATCAATGATTGGAGGGGTTTCAGGATTGATGGAGGTACTTGAGTGCTTTTTGTCAGATTTGGTGAATATACGGTTTGTTGGGGGGAGGGGGGGACGCATGTGAAGAATCAGGAGTAAAGAACCTCTCACAATCTCTAGCAGGGAAGAAGAAAACAAAAAATTCACTCACATATGAACGCTTCCGCGGGAAAGCGGTTGAGAGAGCATTACTCCAAGCGTGACGAACTTTCCAGGCGAAGCAGTTGGGATAGTCTCATCATTGAGGTCTTTGGCATAATTTGTCTGCCCTAAGGCGGACAGGTACGCAGCTGATGGTTGCTTGGAATCAAGAACCGTGGTCTTCGCGATGTCGTAATAGGCTCGTGTCGCCCTGTGCTCTTGTGAGTTTTCGGGGGCGTGGTTTGTAAATAATGTCTGGAGAGCACTTCTGTCCGGTGAAGGAAGAGGCAAATAGGCGTAGGTATGAACCCCGAGTGAAGCTAGGGGCCCAGACTGCGTGGCAGTGTATTCCTGCATTGCCTGACCGAGGGCTTCAGGCTCTTGTCTGACCAGAGAGTCCTTAGTCTCAAGTTCAGCCTTTGCTTGAAATGCGGTGTACGATATCATATGATCTAGATGAAGTAGATGTTAGTTCAAATCCGTCCCAAAGCGAGTATGCGTCAAAAAGGGAGATGGTTCAAGATCAACAACACAAAGGTTTTGAATGTGCTAGATTGGAAGCTGTTCACATACCCTGAAGATTCTGCCCAACTCCAGGAAGGTTCATGACTATACCGATGCCATGCTTCTCAAGAAGTTCTGCTCCACCAACTCCAGAAAGTTGGAGGATTTTGGGAGATTGAAAAGCGCCAGCAGCAAGTATAACTTCGCTCCTTGCCTGAACAGTCTTTGAGGCACTATCGAGACTGTATTGGACTCCAATAGATCTGGGAGGCTTGCTTTCGTCAAACAGGACTCTCTCGACAAATGAGTTCGTAAGAACGTGAAGATTTTGTCGAAGCTCAACAGGCTTATAGTAGGCCGAGGCGGAGTTGCTTCTCTTGCCCTCCGAGTCGATGCTAGCAAGGCAACTGAATGAGCCTACAGAGCTGTAGATGAACGGATCCCCGGCGTTGTATTGCCCTCTGCTGCGGAACAGTTCGGCCCATGCCTTGCGAATAGGGTGCGTCTTGTTGCCAAAAGATGTTTGGATCGGACCTTTCGCTTCGTTCAATTCAGGCCAGTCATCAATTGCCAGACCTTCTTTGGCATCCTGTGCTACAGTCGGACTGCTGTAGGTCTTTAAGAAATAGTCCTTTAACATGGACCAATTCCATCCGGGGTTACCGAGTGCCTCCCATGAGTCAACAACACCCTTAAAAGGAGGAACAAAGACGTGTGCATTTAATGAACTGGATCCTCCGAGAGCCTTGCCCTGGTTGAGACCAAGCACCCTGCCATTGAGGCCCGGCTGTAAAAGCAATGAGTAAGCCCACACCCTTTATCGAGACAGAGACGGTCCTTACCTGAGGGGAAGAGTGGAATTTCCAATCGGCGTCAGATCCAAGTAGTGCGGCATAAAAGATGGGAATGTTCACGCGGGGATCTGCTGTCAAGTCGGCGCCTGCTTCGAGAACCAGCACAGAGGTGCTGGGGTCCTCGCTGAGTCGAGAAGCAACCACTAGGCCAGCCGTACCGCCGCCAATAACGACAAAGTCATATACAGCAGCCATTTTGTACTGTGCGCGGACTTGGTAGAAGATCGGACGAGAATGTGAAAAAATCGAGCTGCGAGCGTAGCAAGTGACTTATTAAAAAGAAAAGAAAGACCCGTGGGCAGGAAATATATATGCATTGGTACTAATTGAATTACCCCTCAGTATCATAATACTGAACAAAGAAACAGATTTCATCAATACCACCCAATGGGAGTACTATATGGAAATGCTATAATTAGCTCCACAAATGCCAGTTTTACCCCGCCCAAAAGTACTGGATCGAACGGCCCCCTCCTCAATGCAGTTTAGCACGTGTGAGATTGTTATGGTAACGTGATTCCCGGCCGACCGGTCACCTCATCAAATTTTCCCTTAGCAACCATTGTTTACATTTTTTAAACCACCACCATGCCTCCAAAAAGACCCCAGAAAACACAAAAATTGATTGAGCAAGAGGGTCGTCTTCTACTTGCTGTAGAAGCTATTAAAAATGGCAGAATTCCCTCTATTGCTGCTGCTGCCCGCTCTTTTGAAATGCCACGTACTACCCTCTCAGCTCGAATAAAGGGTCGCCAAAACAAACATGATATGTGGTCAAATGGCCATAAATTTACTCAGCTTGAAGAAAGTTCAATTGAAGATTGGCTAGTCTCTATGGATTCGAGAGGCGCAGCTTTCAATTTGCCTATATTGCGAAATATGGCCAATTTACTACTCCAATCGCGCGAAAAGACAACCTCTACTACTACCCTTTCTGTTGGAAAAAATTGGCTTACAGAATTCGTCAAACGTCGTCCAAATCTTATAACACGTCTATCTCGCAAATATGACTATAAGAGAGCTCTTTCTGAAGATCCTAGAATTATCCTGCTATGGTTTAAACTGGTTGAAGAAACCATTCAAAAATATAATATCGACTCGGATGATATCTTCAACTTCGATGAATCTGGGTTTGCGATAGGAGTAAATACTATCCAAAAAATCGTTACTTCTGCTGATTATTATGGTCGGAGAGCTCTTTTACAAGCTAGAAATCGCGAATGGGTTACTGTAATTGAATGTATAGGGGCTTCTGGAGTCGCTCTACCGCCATATATCATTTTCAAAGGTAAGGTGTTCAAGCATCGTTAGTTCAATTTTCTACCTAACGAAGCTGACTGGCGAGTTAATGTTTCGAAAAATGGTTAAACAAGCGATGAAATTGCTCTTAATTGGTTAAAAATACATTTTATTCCAAATATACGATCAAGAAAGGGAAAACATTGTTTTCTAGTACTAGATGGTTATGAGAGTCATCTTACTCCGGAATTTGACCAGCTATTGTAACGAACGGCTACACTGACGATAGGGAATCGTGAGAATGTAGGGTATGTATTTGACGAGGAAACTAAGCTAAGCTATGAAGCTATTCAGGAGCTGGCTGCGATATGTGTGACAGCTCTGACGCTAGTCCCTATCGGGGAGTTAGGTTATAGGGTATCGCGAGGAAGGTCCTCGGAGGCAGGTCACAGTCCGTGACATTACCCCCCCTTCTAGGCTCGCGATCGCCCTCGATCGCTGTTGTCAAACCGGCAGTTTATCCTCTCGCGTAATCTCGAATTCTTCCTCCCCATTGTATGCCTCCAACCAGGCGCCTAGACGTCTCGGGGGTCCCGGCTTGTCCGGATACTGCCGATGATATTCCTGCACCAAATGTGGACAGCCGATAAAGTTGCTCGCCGGATACCAGGTCGGGTCATCATCTGCGTTGTTCCATTTGGCCTGATACTGCAGCTTTTTGTAGTAGAGTCGGCTTGCCACGATCTCGTCAACTTCCCATTCATTTTCACCGTGTATCTCTACCGGTTCCGTCACTGGGGGTCGCTGGCCGGGCAATGGGTCATCTGCAGCTAATCTGAGACGATCCGGTGCGAAATTATCATGGATCCTCATCTCCGGAGGCAGATCCAGCTTAAATGCGTGTCCTTTCTGTGCCGTAATCTTATAAGGTCCACGCCTCTGGTGATCCAGTTTCCTGCTTGGTCGACTTGTGCTCAATCCCTCCATAGATAGCCAGACCTTATCATTAACTCCGAAATCTGGCTCCCGGCGGAATTTATTAGCTTGAACAGCTTGTCTCTTCTGAGTTGTTACCATCTGCTGGCGGGCAAGGTCCCATCCCTCGTGCAGTATCTGAACATGTTTGAGTGCGTCCTCCCGTTCCAAGCGAACTCGGGCCGGGACCGGAGCTTCATCAACAGGTCGATCCCAATCAAACGAGGTCCGGGGCTGGTACCCTAGCACTACCTCGAAGGGCGTCATCTGTATTGACTCTTGGACCAGAATAGCGGCAGCATGATCCAACATTGGCAGTAGCTCCCCCCAATTATCCTGATAGTGATTCACGAATGGTCGTAAACGCATCCCAATATGCTGGTTAATTGCCTCAGTCTGACCATCTGTCTGCGGATGTCCAGCTGTGCTGAGCCGCAGTTCTATACCCAGGATTCGGCAGAATTCGTGCCAAAATTCAGAGATAAACTGCGGTCCCCGGTCAGAGACAACAGAATCCGGTGCCCCATAGTGTCGGTAGATATGTTCAATAAAAAGGCGTGCCATACCCCGTGCTCCGATCTTTTTATGACAGGGAACTGACACTGGTTGCTTGCTTAATCGGCATACTACCACGAAGGCCATATCGAATCCGCTCTTGTCCTTTGGGAACTCTTTAAAATCCATAGAGATGTGCTGCCATGGCCGAACGGGAACCGGTAACGATTGAAGCAGGCCGGGGGTCTTGTCTCTAGGGACCTTATCTGCTTGACACTGACAGTTTCGGATGTAGCGGTCTATATCTCGACCCCATCCCGGCCAGTAAAATCTTTGCTGAAAAAGGCGACGGGTCTTCATGCGTCCTGGGTGAGCGGTCGAGCGCTGGCTGTATATTTCCTCTAGAAGTCGGGTGCGCAGCTCTAGATCTTCTTCCGGAACTACCAGACGTCCTCGGTGCAGGAGTAGTCCATCCTGTAACGACCAGTTATCACTTGGCTCCTGTGCCTGGGCACGCTGGCTCTCCAGTGAGGGGGCAGATCGGTTGGCGGCTAGCACTTGGTCAACGATCTTGATCCCCTTTAGGTTCTCGAGAACGCAGAGCTGCGTGGTTAGCGCACGTTCGTCACGGATGGCTTCCTCCAGGGCCTCATCCGGTATCATCTGTTGGATATTGTGGCTATCAGCAGTCCCCCCGCAGTAGTCCTTCCGTGAGAGGATATCTGCAATCACATTGCCCTTTCCGGGGCGGAATCGAATTAGGAAATAAAAACGAGACAGATATTTGGACTAGCGCGCTTGCCGTCGGCTGAGCTTTCTCTTGGTCATAAAGTATTCTAGCGCCCGGTGATCCGTCCATATACTAAACCGGTCAGTTCGTTGCAGTCCCTCTAGCTCCGGACGCCATTCTTCTAGAGCGTGAATGATCGCCAGCATCTCTTTGTCATGAATATCGTAATTGCGCTCGGGACCTGACATAGACTTAGAGTAGTAGGCAACCGGGTGCCAAGATCCCTTGAACTCCTGAGAGAGAACACCTGCAATAGTCTCGTCTGAAGCATCTGTTTCTAGCCGACTAGGCAGGCCTGGATCGTAATGCCGTAGAAGCGGTACCGATATCAATCGTGCCCGTAACTCTTCGAAAGATTCCTGGCAGGCGTCATCCCAAATAAAGGGAACAGATCGTCTGGTTAATGCGTTCAATGGTCGGGCTATCTGACTATAGTTTCGGACAAATATCCTGTAAAAGTTACAGAAACCCAGAAAAGACTGGACCCCTTTTACCGTAGAAGGAAGGCGCCACTTGCTTACTACTGCAACCTTGGCAGGGTCTACCCTTATTCCCTTTCCAGATACAATAAAGCCCAGGAATCGTGTTTCTGCTTGGTGAAATTCGCACTTGTGAATCGCGGCTTGGAGGCCTGCTGCACGAAGGCGTTCTAATACTGCTTTCACATGTTTCCGGTGTTCGGCTTCGTTTTTGCTGAAAATCAGGATGTCATCCATGAAAACTGTTATATAGCGGTCGAGCATATCCATGAACAAACTATTCATATATCTCTGGAACGTGGCTGGGCCGTTCGTCAGTCCGAAGGGCATAACCTGATATTTGTAGTTCCCGTATCGCGTCTTGAACGTAGTAAGGTCTTCCTGTCCCGGTTCCATGCGGATACGGTGGAACCCCTGTCGGATGTCAATCTTGGTAAAGATTCTAGCACCGGTCAAGCGTTCCATGAGCTCACCGATTAGCGGGAGCGGGTAACGGTCCTTCTGCGTAATACTATTCAATCGACGGTAGTCCACGCAGAACCGTAGGCCCCCATCCGGTTTCCTGGCCATCAGGATTGGAGACGCGAACGGTGCTCCACTAGGGACGATAAACCCTTTGTCAAGATTCTCTATAATGTACTGTCTAGCTGCTTCCAGCTCTTCGATAGACATCTTGTAAAGAGGTCCATTGCCAATAGTCTCGCCCGGTAACGCTTCCGGGTCCAGAGTCAGCCGGTGGTTCTTTTCACGCAGCGGTGGGAGCTGGTCAGAAGCCTTTTTGGAGAAAACGTCGAGGTAATCATGGTACTCCTTGGGGATCTTCCCCCGTAAGTCAACAGCTTCTTGGGGGTCAAGTATCGCGAGGCGATTATCGATGACCTCTTCAATCTGCTGAAGGGTTACTACGCAGATCTCGCTCTTCCCTTTGCGGGTGTGCCGGTTGAATCCTGCAGCTCCGATTACCGCGATCTCTATGATTGCTGGATGGCACGCTGCCTTTCGTTAAACCGAGACAGATATAGGCTGAATATCATTCGATCGAGATAATTGCTGGCCGTGTAGCGCTCTATTCATCTTGACTAAATTGTCACGACGGGTTTGCGCTTCTCGCGGGATTGGAGCATTGAATGCCCGTTCCCGACGCTCCATGTCCGCTTGATGGGATGGGTCAGGGAGTGGTCGCTTGAGGATCTGCCGGGGGAGAAATATATGGCCACGGGCCTGGATTGTCTCTTTAATTGATCGCTCTTCTGGCCATCGCAACTTGTTTTCAGCACAATCTAACCAGACGTCTCGTTTAGCCAACCATGCTTTGCCGATAATCATTTCGTGGTTCCCGAGTGGAGTGATCAACATCGGCTCACTCAGGAATCGTCGTCCATTTACCCACAGGTGTGGCTGGATGTAATGTTGCAGTGGCCTGCCTGCCTCACCATTGTATCCAACAGTTGGGATCGCTTGTGGTAGTGTTTTGATCGGAATGCCTAATCGTTTAACCAAGTCTAGCGCTGTTGCAGCATCGATATACAAGTATCCGGTTGCTCCAGAATCGGCCAGTGCATACTGTTTAGTAGAGAGTCCATTGAATGAGATCA